CATGCTAGAACTAAGGAGTTTGATGTTGTTTTGGGGACACTGCCATCAAAAATACATCCACTGGGTGTTCAGTTCCTCAGATACTGGGCATGGGTGTAGAAATGCTCTTGCAGCCGACAGCAGAATACTTGGTGAGCTTTGCTTATGGGTGATAGATTTTAGAGTTAGCAGAAGCAGCTTGAGAAAGTAAATTAACTTGGTAGACTGTGAGGCAGCTGCTCTTTTGGAATTGCTCACCTAAAAGCAGCAGGCAGCGAGGGAGCAAGATTCGTATCATATGGATGACCAGTGGCGCCTCAGTTCCTACTCAAAATCTGAACAAAATTTTGACTGATTTGTAAAGTTAGGAGGCTATCTACTTGAGGGGAGGCTTGAGGAATGGCAATAATAGGTGACTTGATATTATCACAGCTTTTGTTTTACACCACTGAGGTTTTAAGACAAAGCAGGAACAGTGTTACAAAATACTTAACAGAGATGTTGAGGATGTGGCTGAGAGCAGGGCAGTGATTCCTCCAGCTCTGATGAGCAGTCATTGTCACTCACTTCCCCTGTCATTACTGCTGAGTTCTCATGTTTATTCACACAGTTCATTAAAAATATAAAGAGTTTAGATTATTTAATGTTTATTGCACTGTTTTGGAGGTTAGTATATATTCTGATGTGGAGCTCCCAAATTTGATTTATTGAAACAATATGGGCAATGATCCTAAAAACTCAGTCATTGTTTCTGCTAGGTTTACTATATCCTCATCAACAGTAGGCATTTACAACATCTAATGAGTACAGTAACTATGTATCTCACACTGTATGATTTACAGTATGACCTTACACTCCGATGAAAAAATATGCGAGGAGGGTGTTTTGCAGCTTAAAGCACCAACTCCTCCCCTAAAAAGCCCTCTGTGAGTAACGGACTGAACAGCCTAACGCCCCCTCAATGTGGCAGCGGCAGGGTCATGGCTGGCCCTGGGGGCCTGGGTAAACACTGGCCAGTCCAGCCAACACAAGCGCCACACTGGGTTGTGCAAGGCAGCCGTGGGACATCTGGCCACATCACAGCACAACGTTCCTGCTTTATGAGCAACAACAGCCGTAACTCTGAGAATAGAAGTGGCAGGAGTAAACCCAATGGCCTGCTGCAGAAATGCTGACTGTGGAGAAGGGAGGAGGACGACACGGACTGAAGCAAGAGAGAGAAAGAAAGAAGAAAGGAGCGTGTGTGGCAGGAATGGAAAGAGATGAGATGAGAAAGACCTGACCAAGAACCAAAAGGCTGACGACATGTTATCAGGAGGGCAGCGAGCTTTGTCCTTATAAGGTCATTGTGTGTATGTGAGGAGAAGGACACGGCACAGGACACATGCAAAAGAACACACACATCTGTGATTAAAGAATTGGTTAGCCTGTCTGCATATCTATAGGGCTTACTATGTATTGATCAGTGGCTGTATTTTTCTGTTACTCGTACAAAGTCTGTAAAAACATCAGAAAACAGGGGAAAGTCTCCGAAGCCCAAAGTCCAAGGTGATATCTTGAAAATACTTAAACATGACCACCTGTCCGATTTAACGTAAAAAGAAGGAAACTGTCAAACTAAAAATGAAACAAAATCTGAAAATGCTTCACTTGATTAATGACTTAACAAAGTCTCTTGTAGATAATTTTTCTATTCCTCCTTTCATTCAGCCCATTCTTTCCACTTGTCACTATACACACTGTTCCCAGTTTAATTATGTCACCTAATTTTCCATTACAACACCATAAAGGTGACCATGGTATTTTGCTGAACTGGCTGTAAACAACACCAGTTCCCACACCTATCTATCTGTGGTAACCCATTAGGGTTTACTGGGCGACCCCTGACCTTGGCTGGGGTCGTGGCCAGGGCCTTCATTAGTCGATAAATCATAAACACCTGAGCGGCTGACCTGGGCACAGTGCTGGAGCTGCAGTCATGTGGTATTCATTTTGAGCCGCGGTGGCATGTAAATCGGGTTAAACCAGCGCCGGCGACCCTCGGGGCTCAGAGCACATATTAAAAATGTGACCACAACCCACTCACTATGTGTCAGAATGTGTGTGAGAGTGTGTGTCAAGTGGTTATGAGAAACCCGGCTCCACTGGTAAATGAATATGACTTTATATAGAGCATGTAATTGAATACCTTTACACAATCCAACAATGGTTTACCGTCTGTTTTACTGCTTTGTTGTGGGTTTTAGCTCGTTTCTAAGGCTAAGGTTAAGTCATGTCAAGGTTTTTCACCTTGTAATTTTATCTTGACAAAAGAATGATGATGATGTGATATAATCATTCCTAAATGGCAAAAAAAAGTGAATTAATAGGGCATCTGGTAAAAACCACACTAGTTTAGACAATAACTTGCTTATAATATTGAATGGGTTTCTACAGGTTTCAACAAGTTTTTTTTTTTTTTTAAGTTGTTTTTTTGGCCTTTTTGCCTTTATTTGATAGGACAGTAGAGAGAGAGACAGGAAATTAGGGAGAAGAATGGGGCAATGGCCTGCAGCAAATAGCCATGGGCTGGATTCGAACCCACGATCGCTGCATCAGGGACTATAGCTCCAGTACATGGGTCGCCAGCTCTGCCAGTTGAGCTATAGCGGTGGCCGCAGGTTTCAACAAGGTAAGCTGAAATTTTTTTAAACCATTATGTATGCTATTTAGCATTACACGTCCATACTGGCACAGAAATTTACCAAAACTACTCTTGCTGTTGACTGTAGAATCTGACAACCTAAATTTCCAACTGCGAAGTACATGATTTATTCAAGGATACTGTTTGTGAAGTCCAGAGCTGCTCTAAATGTAGGCAAAATTTCAAACCATGTCCACAGGCTGCTCACTGGAGTTGCTGGACTTTGGAGATGCTCCCAAAGTGAACAGAGAACAATACTAAGTGATGGCAGGTGTTTGTTGGTGGCTGGTTCATTCACTTTATGGTTTTCTGACTCCCTATGCAACTCTAATGTCCTTAGAGCTAATGATCCTAATTTGAGCAATTTGTGTGCTTGAAATAAGTTATTCCCAACAACCAGATTTCTTTAATCAAACACTAAATGTCAATGTCCTTGAACTTACACTTACCCATATCAGATGAGAATTAGGAAGACAGAAACTATTTTAACTTATTACTAGCCACAGTGTTGTGATGAGAGGATTGCCATATTAGCCTGCATATCAACACATTAGCTGGATGTACTCTGATGAATTGTGACTGGGCTGTACAGTTGTACATGAGAGATTATTGGTTCCATGTTAGTTTTATTTTGTAGTTTTGTTGGCATGGTCAATACAATGTTTTCTCAAAACACTTTTGAATGTTACACTAAAGTTAATACAACTTTATTTAAGAAAAATTAAGATCATAAATGATCATTTCTTAAGACGCCAAATTTGTAGTTAACATATTTTTAAGGAATAAACTTCAACTCATTGGATTTTAACTTTTTAAGGACCCACCGAAACTCCCATACACAGGCCTGCTGACAATTGCAACCATTTTTTGAGAGTATGTAAGTTAATAGTGAATGCGATCATTTTTAGGACCACTTATTAGGCTGTTGTGTTGCCCCTCTGGCCAGGATAGGTAGCTGCTGCACTAGCTAGTCAGTTTGGAAGTAATACTTTCTCTTCTCCGCTGTCTCAGTCAGTACCTCCCTGTCTGACATGTTAATCAGTGCATTCAGCTCTTCAGAACAGGTGACTAGCTAGCTTGTGCGTTAGCTGGCAGATTAGTGCTTTACAGAACATCTGTAAATTGGAGTGTCTCTTGATAAGCAGATGTTTAACAAGTGAGGAGTTCAGCCTGTACAAAAAAACTGAGAAAGTTAGTAACACCAGTGCTGCCAGTGGATAAGTCAGTCTGAAGCCCTGTTTACATGACTTTTAGATTACTGTTGCAATGACAGAAAGGTAAATTATGAAATCCATCCATCCATTATCTATACACCACTTAATCCTCACTAGGGTCAAGGGGGTGCTGGAGTCTATCCCAGCTGACTTAGGGTGAAGGCAGGGGACACCCTGGACAGGTCACCAGTCTATTACAGGGCTACACTTAGAGACAGACAACCAAGCACACTCACATTCACACCTACGGACAATTTAGAATCACCAATTAACCTCAGCATGTTTTGTACTGTGGGAGGAAGCCGGAGAACCCGGAGAGAACCCACGCTGCAAGGGGAGAACATGTAAACTCCACGTAGAAAGATCCCGGGTGTCCGAACTGGGACGCGAAACAACGACCTTCTTACTGAGAGGCAACGGTGCTAACCACCAAGTCACCTTGCAGCCCTTTATTTAACTTGCATGTAAATATTTATTTACAACAATCAAAGTCTTTACCAGAAACTTTTACTTGAATAGTCATATGCCTACATTTGAATCTTGTATACAGAAAATGCTACATGAGATGTTGTGCTGTGGCCTCAGATAGAGATTTGATTTCATAGTAATATGTGCTTTTGCATTTCTTGAGCAAAAGTTGTTCTGTTGAAAACAAGTAGTCATTGTAAGTTATTGGCTTTACTGTACACCTGGTGCTGATTGATGACTTTAAAGAAATGACACCACTCTTGTAGTGTTCTAATTCATGTTTATTTGCAAACAAATATAGCATATGGAATAAAATGGTCAAATGCAAACGAGATTTCTTTTGTGTTTCAGGAATAACTATAACTGCCAAGAAGTCCACCCTGCATATGTCTAACTTTTATGCATTTGGAACATTAATTATTCTGCATTACAAGTATTTGTGAGCTGTATGTTAAAGTTCAAGTTCGACTGTGTTTTAATTTAGTGTATTATTTGACATCATCAGCCTGAACATTATAAACAACAATTTGTCAGTTTTATTAAAACATTACTCAGACTTAATCTAATTCCCGTTTTAATAATGCTTTTTAAGTCGCGTATACTTTTGCCTTCTCTTCTCCTACCACAGCAAAATGCATGTCATGCTTTTCACTCACCTCTCCTTGGGCTCTCGTGGTTAAAGAGGATCCCGTTGACAGCAAACATGTTATAGGCCTCTCGGAAATTCACCACAATCCAGTAGGCATACAGCTTAGCAGCTCCTGACAGGAGAGGAGGAGAATGGGAAAGAGGAAGACAGAAATACGTTAGTACCAATTTAGTATTGAAAAGTAAAGAGATATCACTTCAGGAGAAAATGTTTTAAAAGTGTTTTTTTCACATCACTTGTCTTTGAGTTATAACACAAGCTGACTTTCACACTCACATTAATGATGAATATTCTGCCAACAAACATAATTCTTCTTTTATCACATCTTACAAAGTGACAATCTCAGCAGAGACAGATTCACTGATACCTTCCTCTTAAAAGTGCAGATACAAGACCATAGTAAAGAAAAAGATTAACACTTGTAACTACAATACATGTCAGAATTAAACACAGTAAGAACATGTATACCACAGCTCATATCTCAATATGAGGAGCATGAACCGCAGAATCCTGCTGACTGACCAAAAGCAGCAAAAATGTGCAGAAATCTCTCCCCTAGTTCCCTCTCAGTGTCCTCCCTTCTCCTGTGATGAGGGAAATACCACAGCAAATGAAGGGAGGTGCGCGTTGATTAAGACACAGGTCAGGATGTACACTAGAGGTGAAGGGAGATCGCCATGGCAACCCCCACCTCCCCTTTTCCAAGTCTAATTGATAGAGGAGCAGCCCCTTCTAGAGATGGTATGCACCTCCCATGCAGCCTCAGATTGAGTGCTGACAGATGGGGAAAGTGTCAGCGAGGAGAGCATTTAGACAACAGAGAACATGAAACCTGATCGCTCATACACGTGTGCAGCCTGTGTGTACGTGTGCACGCAGAAACTGAGTGCTGTGGATATAAAGGTGTCTTTGTTAAAGCGAGAGCCATTCCAGTCCTCAGTCAGACGTTTGGCCTCGGGGTGTGTGGAGAGCTCAAACTCAGTCTGAGCACTGAAGCCCCCCTTCTATTCACTCACACACACTCCAGGAAAAAGTGCGGTACAGGCATCAAGCAATCTGTGTTTGTATGCCCTTACATGGCCATATGCAAGTGTCTGACAAATGGTACAAGGTAGAAAAAGTTAGGTAATCCTTGTGTGTATTTCCATGTGGATCTACAGCACATTACGTATTTGTACGTATTACCGTAAGGTGAGCGAGGGTAGAAAGGAGTGGTTTCCTTCTGAGGGATCTCCTGGACTTTGCCGTACAGCTCACTCGTGGAGGCCTGGTAGAATTTTACATTATTGGTGAGGCTGCATGTTTTTATGGCGTCCAGGAGACGCAGTGTGCCCACACCATCTACGTTAGCGGTGTACTCGGCCAGCTCAAAGGAGATCTGGAAGAAAAGAGAGAAAAACAGATAGACATTATTAAAGGCACCTTAACAGAAAATCTTTTTTTCTTCTATTGTGTTACATCTTTTATTTTCCATGAGTTGATTGTGTTTTTATTCAGATTCGCCATTAAGTCATTGTGTTTATGTCCAATGGGTTACTATTTATAATTGTACAACACTTACAGGTCAACTCCTGTTGTTTAAAATGTGCTTTAGAAATAAATTTGACTTGACCTCTATCCAGTTAAACTAATTCTTTGAAGGATTCCAAAGTGTTAATGTAGACTGTGAAAAACAAACAAACATCAGAGCAGAAATTTGGGCATTAATTACTTGACTACTACTTGACTTAAGACATTCACCTTGTGGCCTGGTAAAATATACTGGATGAAGAAAAAAGAATTTGTTATTTATAAAGTATAATGTTTAAGCATTGTATTATTTTAATGATCACTGATGACTTGAATGGGACTTGAAATTAGTTACTTTTTTTAAATAGCAGAGATGATGTTACAGAGTTTGATGGCTGATGAGTTTTCAAAACCACTATACACCAACATTTTAGGAATCATGTTCAGCTAAAAGCCCTTCATGTCAGCCTTACTGCGTTCCATGGGAAAGCAATTACTAATCAGGTCTGCCGCATATATGTTAAGAGGTGAGGGTGCTGTCACTGTCAGACAATGAAAGTCTAGTATTGTAAGCATTTAGCCTGTAAGGAGTCAGGTTATGCATTGCCAAGATATACTAAAAATAATGTAAAGTGAGTAACTCAACAAATGTGAAATCTCACACCAAGTCACCAAAATCTTCCTTAAAGAAGGTGGGAAGAAATGATGATGCAGAGAGAGGCGGAGAGCAGGGAGGCTTCTGGAGCCCATCAGAGCAGAATGGGAAGCTCTAAACTCTAACTCCCACAATCCCTGTTTCTACTGCAGAGGACTAAGATGAGAGGGAACATAATGAACACTTGGAGGGAAATTAAGTTTAAATTAGAAATGGATGTGCGCGTGCATGATTCTGTGTGCACTTGAGTGTGACTGTGTGAGCTTAGGCGTGTGCCAGGTTGGCCTCAGGCTCCAAATCAGGCATGACGGTTAAAAGCCGTGCTGGTTAGTGGTCACCACACCTGGAGTGAGCGGCATGAGTCCCGTCTGTACGGAGGAAACGCTTCGGCCCTTTAGTGCTTTCACACCAGCACTGTACACACGGCCAGATAAAGACCCCTTATTTAAAGCTGGGACCCAAGAACACTGGGCCTCTATTCCACTCACAGTGCGCACGCACACACACACACACACACACACACATACAGAGCAGGTTTGATCAGGTTCAATTACACTCCACTGCTCAGTGTAATTACCTGTGACGCTCCACTCACGCTTTTACTTTGCATTCTGGCATTTTCATTTACATTTACATCATTTACAAGGAAAAGTGAGAAGGCACTACATACACAGACACATACTGTATGTTACATAATGCCACCTACAGTCAATACGGAAAACACTAGAAGGGGACAGAACAACGATAATACCTGTACATTCATGCATACACTATTCATTTCCTAACATTGTTTCGGTGTGGAACAGTACACAAAAACATTTCCCTGCGCGTTATACCATGTATGACTGTGTTTGTGATAAATAAAGACCTTGAACTTGAACTACAATAGAAACCAAAGCAAAAAGACCACAAACCAAAGCCTCAAAAGTGACCAGTTGAATAAATTTTTGTCTGACACTGAGACTCAAGAAATACAACATTAAGAGAGTCACAAAGTAAACCATTGTTCACTCAAGAGATGTTGCATGATATCTTCTATGATCTCAGACGGAAGCACAGCAAATAGTTGAAGTTTATTTGCAGCGAATTGCATTGTAAGTCTAACTTAAATCAATCTACAAATCACAATTCATGCAGAACAAATCAGTCATGGTGCCAACCCATTTACTTGTAAATGTATTAATTATTCGCTTAGTCCAAAATACAATTTGACTTACTAGAGCCCAAAGTAATTTTTTCCTTCATTCAGTGGTTTTCAAGCATCATTTTAACCTTCACATATTTTAGACTAACAAAAATGAATAATAAAAATCTGTATTTATGAAGCACTTTTCAAAATCTAAGGTAGAAATTCCTTAAAAAGACAGCAAAATAAAACAGACAAGTCATAAAATCCTCAGATTTGACAAATAAAAACACAATCTAGTGCATAAAAATACTGTGTTAGGGACGGTAAAATTATTATTTTTTTTTTTTTAAACTTATAAAGAAATAAGACAGAAATTAAAACCCAAGTAAAATCTGAAAAGGCTCTCCAATATAACGTTGTTTTAACAAGAGGCTAAAAAAAAAAAAAAAAAAAGGTAGCTGACTCAGCGTTCGAAAGCCTAAGGGCCCTAACTGAAAGCTTTCTGTCCCCTTTGGTTTTGCAGTGCCTGTCCAAGGTTCTCAAAGTGTGTAATCATACTAAGAAGTGAGAGATGTAGCTTGGAGAGGCGCCAGGAAGGGCTGGTCAAGTAATCAGTAAAATCTTAAAATCTCCTAAAACATACTGGGAGCCAATGTAAGAAAAAAAAGTCCCCCCCAAAAAAGCATGATGTGAACGCATCTCCTAGTTCTGGTAACATTTTTTTTAAAAGTCTGAGGAACTGAGTTCGGTACAGTCTGGAGTCGATCAATAGATTTTTGATTCTGGCAAGTAAAAAGGATGCTGGACTAATCAATGAGTGGAGAGATGAAAGCATGCAAATAAGTCTCATTGTTTTCTAAAGTTAGGATAGAGCATGTGTCTGTGGCAATAGATATCAAAAAATTGGCTCTGAATGTCAACTGCTCTAAATACTATATGCTCATTCTATGATAAAAAGTTAAAAACTGAGTAAATCTGAACAGTTTTGAATGACACCAATAAAATGTGTTTGTTTTTTTTTGTTGAAAGACAAAATTTTTGTACATATCTTAAAGCACACTATTGATAGTTTTTTTTTTTATTTATTTAAATGTAGAACTTTGGGGTTGGTACTGAAACATATGAATGATATAAAGCTGTATTCATTGCAGGGCCAACATTTTGAATGGAAGTTTTGAACACAGCTACAACGTAAATGGACAACAAATGTGAAACGTCAGGTTAAGGTTGTTCAGGTCGGGAGTGGTTCAGCCAGAGTTTGAGTGTGTTGGCTCCTGATGAAGCCTAAACCTGAAACAGACAATAACTGCCTTCATGTTCAGTGAAGGGGAGGGGAAAGTCACTTACACACACACACACACACACAAATTCAAGTCACTCCTCAACAACAGACATTAAATGTACTCCCAGGCCTTTCAGGTCTATCTATGGGTCTTCATCCTTCAGTGTGGAGTTTACTGCCCATCCACCTCTTCATTCTTTACACATTCCTGTCAGATTTTATATATCAACCCATTATCACAAATAGCAAGTTTGCTTTAGGAGGACTTACAGTCTATACAATTCTATGACTCCTTTTCATAGGTACTCATTTCAGATACACTAAATTTTCAATAAGAAAGAGCAATAAATCGGGGCGTCCTCTTACAAAAGGACAGACATGCATTGGTACTCTACGTCAGGTGTATAAAATAGAGCGAAACAGGAAATTTACAGGATGGAAAATCCTAATAACAAGACAGACAACTTGTAAACATATGCAAGTAAGCATGTGTAAGAAATACATCCAAGAGGATACTGAACAGACCTGATCCACACAATCCCTACTCTACGATGGAGAATGGGAACAACAACACACAACACAAACAAACGAGAAGCAAAATTGAAGCATACCAAAGGAAACAAACGGACAGAAAGAGAAACAGGGAGACCTGCTCTCCTTGGACCTCATAAACCTTGTTTTATGCTGCTACATCTCTTACTGAGAC